CAATTAAAGAAGAAAAGGAAAAGACAAGATCATGCTCATATTCTATTTATCATTTTATTTATCCTCAAGAGGTCTCCATCCTTTCCACATCGTATGTTCTTTCCCTGGCCTGGCCATGATTTTCACCAAAGATCACTACCCATGGAGAAACCTCGATAAAGTGCCAAATAAAATATAGATAAAAGATAAGATTCAGCAACACCCTAAAGGGGTATCGCCGAGAGCAGCACGGTAAAGAGAGAGCTGAATGCTCATGAGCAAGAGGCCATCTGCTGCCGAATGGCAACTTCGCAGGCTTTTTACGTTAAAGATTCCATGGCGGAAGTAAGCCGCAGGTCCGTCGCGGGTGGCGCCCTCTTGTTATTTTCTTCCCGTCGCAGCCGAGAGGGGAGACTATGATATTTTGGTCCACTGGTGGGATTGCGGGTATATCGCATCACTACACTATGACTATTTAATATGCAATCACGCGTGTGTGTGTATGTGTGTGTATATATATATATATATATATATATATATATGTGTGTGTGTGTGTGTGTGTGTGTGTGTGTGTGTGTGTGTGTGTGTGTGTGTGAATAACCGTTTATATATATATATATATATATATATATATATATATATATATATATATATACATATAATTATATAGACGTATATATATATGTAATAAATAATAAATGTATATACATGTATGTGATATAAATACACACACACACACACACACACACACGCATATATATATATATATATATATATATATATATATATATATATATATATATATATATATATATATGTGTGTGTGTATGTGTATGTGTGAACGTGTGTGTTTGTATATATACATGTATATGTGTGTGTGTGTACGTACATATATACGTATATTCATATGTGTGTATGTGTACGTGCATGTTCTCGTTCAAATATCGTAATGATGATAACGATATTAAGGTTACATAAGACCTTTTTCTCGCCGAAAGCAACAAGGCGACGAGTGTCGACATTATCTACGGCACAATCGACATCAACGGCATCGGCGGTACAAGGGTTACGGCTTCGAGGTTCATCGACCATCCAGGATACGACTCGAGTACCTATGTGAGCGTCATGAGAGACATTTGTTCTCCGCCAATCATTTATTATTTATTGTTAGGAGCCTGACTCGGGTTTATGGCGCTTGGAACAGTGGAAAACATTGAAAAATGCCATTTAAAATTCATGAACTTTGTAGGGCTTATATAAGGTAGTGGTGCGTATTCAACGACAATATGTTTGCTTATTAGGAAAATAGGAATACGAATTTTTGCCGTGTTTAACCTTCCATCCACCCTTTAAACTTCCTTATGCTCTTCCTCACTTCCACTCTTCCGTCCTTCCTACCTTGTACCCTTTTACCCTTCTTTTCCTCAGGCCAACGACATCGCACTGGTAGAGCTGCCGCAATCTCTGAATTATGCGACCGATACCAAAATCCAACCGATCTGCTTGGGACTGGAAGAGGACATACCCTTCGGAGGCAAGGCGGTGGCGTCGGGATGGGGAGACCTGTCGTTTGGTAGGTCCACTGATTTCTTCTTCGTCTTTGGTTTCATTACCCATTAAGTATAAGGTAATAAAAAAATGAGACCCATAACTGTAGTGCTTTTTGTGGCAAATATATTACCCTAAGTTCTGATGCTCTCTGTTTCTCACTCATGCTTCAATGTCTTGTCAGTATAAATGAAGTGAGCTTTCCTGTCCCTTGTCCCCTCTCCTTTTCTGTACCATGCCATTCAGTCACTTACCACATCTTGCTAGATAACTGGTATTTTACAATTTAGCCATTAAATAGAATGATACTGAAATGCTCAGTAAACATTTAAGTGCTGCATTGCTTTATGTGTCTAATCAAAATATCTGCCACACTTTTCTTTAATATTAATCTTATTTTGAACAGAGGGGTCATCACCTGACGTCCTGCAGGAAGTAGAGTTAGATATCATCACAATAAACGAGTGTCAGCAGAAGGAGTCTTTACCGCCAGACACAAACTCGGTTGTATGTGCTCTGACTCTCTACAAGGATACCTGTCAGGTAGGAAACAGCTCCATGGCCATAATTCGTTTAACCTTTGGGAACACATTTCTTGATTACGAAAGTAGCCTGGTGAAACATCCTCTTTAAGAACTCATTACCCTGTACACAACCGCAGGGTGACAGCGGTGGTCCTCTTGTTGCGAAACTTTGTGACGGCACCTGGGCTCAAATAGGAATTGTCAGCTATGGTTTCCAGTGTGCCGTCCCTGGCAAACCTGGTGTGTACACCCGTGTGTCTGCTTTCGCTAGCTGGATCTCAAATAACACTGGAGGCAGCAGCTGTAGTTCTACCCTGAGTAAGTCATGGTTTGAAACGGATGTATGTTGCACAATGATGTACATTGAATCATTACAGAATAAGTATTAAGGTGTGGAGTTCCCGAGAAATGGACACTAGTTGTAGCAGAGTTTCACTGTTTATGTCTTC